CCCCAAAACCCCAAAACCCCAAAACCCCTTTAAAATTCAAAAAAATTGATTATTTTCAGAAATCTTGAAAAAATCTATGAATTTTCAAAAGGAACAAAAAATGGTAAAAGCTGAGAAAATTAGAATCTGTGAAGAAATTTTGAATTTTTTAAGGAAAAATTTCTGGTTTTGTGCGGCGCGGTAGCGTGGATAAGGAGGAATAGGAAGAGATTTAGGGTAGTGGGAAATATGGAGGAAATTTAGTTACTTAGGAATGCACAGGAGAGGACATGGGTTTAGGGCAGTTGGAGTTAAGGACTGAAGAGGTTCTGAATGGGGAAGGAGGCGTTTAGACGGGTTTTAGGGATGGAGAGTTGTTTAGGGGCTTGCAAGCTTGACAATTAATGAGATTTGATGAATTTAAGTATAAAATTTAGGAGGAGAAGGAAATAAGTGGTTTGATTAAATCAGAGAGAGATGAAGAAATTAACAGCGCAGGTGACAAGTTTTATCACTTTGAAGAGGGAGAAAAATTACTTAACTTAGTAACTGACTTCAATTTTGGAGATATCTTTTTAGGTGATATTTATATTAGAAGAGAGTATCTTTCATCAGAAGAAGGTGATCATATTAGACTTCTTCACACAGAAATCTGTCATAAAGAAAATAAACCAAGAGCTACTATTGCTATGTTCCATGGAATGGGGCAAGGATCTGATACTCTCATTGAGACTTCTCTCCAATATGCCAAGAATGGATATAAAATCGAAACTATTGACTTTAGAGGATATGGTGGCTCAGGAGGAATTAGAGGAGAATACACAATTACAGATCTTCAAAAAGATATCATGTTATTATTAAAAGAAGTGGATACTGATATCCCTTTATTCGTATATGCTCATAGCATGGGATGAATGGTGCTTCTATCCTTCTTAATGAACAACCCAGGGTTGAATATTAGTGGTGTTATACTCGTTGCTCCTCTGACTTCTCCTCCCAAAAATGTCAAGCTTGATTATTTCAGAAGATTCGTTGCAAAAATGATTGGTCAAAATCTTCCAGAAATGATATTTAACCCAAGAGGAAATGCTTCTGCTGCTACATCTAAAGCTTATTTGTTGAAGTGGTATCTAACAAACAGGAAGGCTGTCCCAATCATTGGGGCTAAACAAATGGCTGGGCTTGCTGAATACATGTATCATTTCGAGTATAACTCAAGCTATATGAGGTATCCAATCCTTGTACACTTAGGAGGGGCTGATGAGATTGTCAATAATGAAGGCACCAAAAAGATCTTTGAGGCATTTGGAACTGAAGACAAACAAATTTATGAGTATGAAGGATATCTCCACGAACTTCACTATGAAGACTGTAATAAAGAAATGTTTAGAAACACTATCAGCTGGATTAATAGGAAATTTAAGGATGGTGGTGCAACCAAAGTTGGAGCGATCGACTTTGATGATGTAAAGATAGCATTTCTTAAGAAGAAAGCTCCTTTTAAGCATTGGAAACAACTTATCGCGGCATCTGTAATAGTCTACTATCTCATTGGATACCTCTTAATGGTCAGTAAAGTAGTGAACAAGAGGAGACATGAGATGCTGGCTTTCTGGCCGTATCAATTATACAGACTACTATTTGGAAAGAGATAATCTTCATTTCTTACAAAGTTCAACTTTAATAATACTAAAGGGGTTTTGGGGTTTTGGGGTTTTGGGGTTTTGGGG